TCAATTACTGCTAACATGCTGTGTTTATATGATTCAAGTTAAAAATGCTAAATTATACTTGAAAAGATATTCTGAATTTTTTCTATTATTTCATGTGTATCGCACATAGTTTTTAAATATAATATATTTTTCCACAAGTTTATGATTTCTGTAAAATGGGAAGGTTAGATGCTAAAATTATTATATAAAATGGATAAAGGTTAGGTTTGTTTATCCGAGAAGAATAAGTTATAATTATATAAAATGATATATCATATATATGAAACAGTTATATATAAATTTTATCTGTATCTATATGATTATATAACCATATGTGTATATGATTATATTGTAATTGAAACGAAATTTATATATGATGCTTTTTATTTCAGATATATAAATCTTAATTGTTTGTGTTGGATTTTTCTTTTAGCTTTTTTCATTTGCGTTTTGATAATGAAAAAAGCTAAAAGAAAAAAATCCAACACAAACAATTAAGATTTATATATCTGAAATAAAAAGCATCATATATGTATAAATTTTGTTTCAATTACAATATAATCATATACACATATGGTTATATAATCATATAGATACAGATAAAATTTATATATAACTGCTTCATATATATGATATATCATTTTATATAATTATAACTTATTCTTCTCGGATAAACAAACCTAACCTTTATCCGTTATGATTATTTTTATTTAAATTGCTATATTATAGTTATATTATTTTATTTATATTCGTTAAGACCAGAAATCCATATACACAAGAAGTTGTTTCTTTTTGTTTGTTGCTTGGTCTATGTTGCCACACGGGACTATTGGGTTGATCCGGGAAGTAATAATCTATGATTTTGACTGCACAATGCTCTTTATTTGACGAGCTCACAAACGAAACGAATTAGCTGCTTCCACCTCTCAACTATACTCTCGCCATCTTGTCTTCACCATCCCTACTTCCTCTCTACACCACCTTACACTTTAGTGTTGATGGCGCATCGAACATATATGTATATTAAACATATCGCCCGCCTTGAAAATCTCCGTTTTTCAACAAATACTAATAGGAGCGATAAACCATGAACGTAAACTAAACTTAATCTTATTAAAGATACATTAATAAAAGAAACAAACAAAAGAAAATCCGCAATATCGCTTAAAATTTACTTATGTCTAATCGATTGTCGGTACGATACAAATTTTTGAAAGGCTACGTTGTACAATACCATTGCTAGTCTTAATGCTAACGACTCGAACAAGTTTATCCTTTCCAGGATGAATCTCTGTTATGCGACCAAGCTTCCATTGTAGTGGCGGCAATCTATCGTCTCTTAGAATTACAAGCGTGTCAGGTTTCAATGAATCGGTAAGATTACAGCTCTTCCACTTATTTCTGGGCTGCATTTGAGATAACACTTCTCTACTCCATCGAGACCAAAAGTGTTGTAATAATTTAATCAATAATTGGTAACGAGTTAGACGATTTGAAGCGGTGTCCTGCAAATCCACCTGAGGTATAGCCGTCAAAGATGAACCGATCAAAAAATGACCCGGGGTAAGAGCAGAGAAATCATTAGGATCACTCGACATCGGTGTCAGAGGCCTAGAATTAAGAATTGCTTCAATCTCCGTCAATAATGTGTAGAATTCCTCGAATGTCACGAGTGCATTGCCAAGAACTCGCTTCAGATGCGTCTTAGCGGACTTTATGCCGGCTTCCCAAATGCCACCCATGTGGGGAGAGTAGGGCGGTATAAAATGCCACTTAATTGATTGATCGGATAAATACTGTGATACCTCTGACTGATGAGATTTGTCTCGTAGTAAATTCAACAGAGCCTTGAGCTCATTATTGGCGCCAACGAAATTAGAGCCGTTATCTGAATAAATATTCGCGCATTTACCTCGCCGCGCAATAAACCGCCGTAATGCATTGAGAAATGCCGCAGTGCTGAGATCGGTTACAAGTTCTAGGTGTACCGCACGCGTTGCGAGACACACAAATAAACATAAATATGCCTTGGATGATTTGTTCCGTGAGACCTTAACGTTGAACGGTCCTCCGTAATCTATACCTACGTTTAGAAATGCGCGGCAGGGCGTGACTCGAAATTCAGGCAAGTCACCCATTAATTGGTGAGGACTCTTTGCACTCGTACGAAAACAGATGATGCACCCGTGCAGAACTCTTCGGACCGCGGATCGTGCACTTAAGATCCAATATTTCTCGCCTATGATACTTAATAATGCTTGCAGACCGGCGTGCAAATTTCTCACATGTTGATCTCGGATGATTAGTTTCGTGATATGACCGCCGGACGATAACACTACTGGAAAACGCTGTGTGTACGGCAATGGAGCTTGCCGAAGGCGTCCTCCAACTCGGATAAGCCCATTGTCATCGATGAACGGGTTTAATGACAATAGTTTGCTATTTCCTTGCAACTTGCGCCTACTTGTCAAATCTCGAATTTCTTGCGGGAAATCTCGTGCTTGGTTGAGTCTCAGGATCGTTGTAGTTGCTTGATCTAACTCTTCTACCGATGGCAACGGTATCTCCTTTATTGTTGGATTCAGGGTGGGTTGTCGATTATTAGAGTCTCTAGATTTTCTTGTCACCAACAATTGTTTGACATTGCGAATGAATCGTAAGCAGTATACCATTATGTTTTTAAGTTTCGACCAAGAAGAATATCGCTCTAACAAGTCAAACTCTTGAATAACGTTGTTGAGAACGGGTATTTGCTCTGCTGCTTCGACGACACTTGTGTTTATAACTTCTTCATCGATTGGTTTAGATTTATGATATATGTCGATGTGTTGAGATAGCCATGGCGGGCCGTTCCACCATAATCTAAAATTCTCCAATTGCTCTGGGTTGATGCCACGTGATAATACGTCTGCGGGATTGTCCTTAGAAGACACATGATGCCAGCAGTTCTTATTGGATAGTCGCTGTATTTCAGCGACTCTGTTCGCTACAAAGGTCTTCCATTCAGTTGGCTCTCCGGCGATCCAAGCTAATGTGACCTGTGAATCCGACCAATAGTGTATCTCATCGATTGATAAAGTTAACGCCTCCAGAACCTTGCGCACGAGTCGCGCAAGCAGGAGGGCTCCGCATAATTCAAGCCTCGGTATACTGATGACCTTTAAAGGAGCTACTCTGGACTTCGCTGAATGTAACCTTACTAAATATTCTCCCTCGACGGTGAGTGATCGAATGAAAATGCATGCTCCGTAGGCACTCTCGGACGCATCACAGAATCCATGAAGTTCAATCTTCTTAGGATTTGCGCAAACGATGAGTCGTGGAATTGAGATGCTACTGATAGAAGACAACTGGCTGTAATATTGCACCCACATGGTATGCAAATCGGCTGGCAGAGATTCGTCCCATCCGATTTTTAGACGCCAAAGCTGTTGGAGGATGATTTTGGCTCTGATACAAGCCGGCCCAACTAAGCCTAGTGGGTCGTAAATCTGGGATATAAGTGATAAGAGTGTTCTCTTCGTTATTCGTGTGTTGTCACTCTTCGTGTTTATCTTGTATCGAAGAACGTCATCCAGTGGATTCCAATAAAGTCCCAGTGTCTTGACCTCGTCTCCAATAGGTTGATCATCCACTGATGTGTTCTCGATTTCATCTATGATAATGGCGGGTGTGTTTGAATTCCATTTCCTAAGTGGAAACCTGCCGGTGAGCAATATTCGACTGATTTCTTTCTTAATGATCTTGACTTGCTCTATTGTATCGCCACCGGTAAGCAGGTCATCGACATAGAAGTCGTTCAGGATGATGTTACTGATGAATGGAGACTCCTGTTCGTGTTGATAAGCCACTTCATGAAGACATCGGATTGCGAGGAACGGTGCTGTGGCGAGTCCATATGTGATTGTATTTAATCTGTATTCCTTTATCGGTTGACTCCAATCTGACCGCCACAGGATTCTCTGAAGATCGCGTTGATCATCTCGTAATTGTATCTGCCGAAACATTTTTATTATATCTGCAGTAATAACGTATTGATGTTGTCGGAAACGAGCGACGATTGTAAACAGATCTTGCTGAATAGTAGGTCCGACTCGCAAGATGTCATTAAGAGAAACGTTGGTAGATGTCTTGGTAATT